CATTAAATAGTTTAGATACAATATTATAATTCTATGATGTCACACATCACCTAGTTTGATAATTCTTTATCATATTTGGGCCTGATTCTTAATATTAGACCTCTGTTTTCACTTACATCATTCCCTCTATCCATGCTTTATTCTTTTCATGGCACTTGACAATAGTTGTTGTCCATCACAGCCGCCTGTAAGTCAGCTTTAGTGTAGGCATAACTGGTGGCTACATCAATCTTTGCAGCTGATGTGAAGTGATAGGTAAGATTCCTGAAGTAATCATTTTATCCTGCTCTTGAAGTTGGCTGTCCTGGGGTGCTGAAATCGACAGTTTCAGGCTTTGCCCCCAATATATGGGCCTTCTTTGGGTAACCTTATAAAGAAAATAAATAAGTACATTTACTAAGTATTAAAAATCTTCGTCTTTCGTGCTACTAAAAAAATATGGGCGTAGGCCTACTCGTACCTACAGTAGTCTACATGTACATAACATGTCAGATTTGACACACACACCTCGACTAATCTTTGATTTTTTCAAGGAAAATAGTTAGCATTCGTGTTTTTCAAGCACTAAATAGAAAGAAAACACATACCTTTCAGTCAATTCACATTTTCATCCAGATGTTATCCAGATGTAATGTAAAGGTTACATCCGATTGTATGAATTCAGTGGCTAGTTTATAGAACATTTAGCAGAGATAAGACTCAACCAAATAACGAAGTTGATATAATGATAAATAATCGGAAGGGAAAACATTTGTAAAAAAATATAAAAAAATAAAATAATTATCTATTATGCTGTGTAAATTCATGCAACCGCGCCAGCCTATCGTGAATTTACACTTAAATTCAGCACGATTCACCTTGCAACCCGTTGTCTGTCTGAAAACTGCATGGCTCACAGTCCGGCTGGTCACACTGCTCTCCACGTCGACCTCGTACACAGGCAGGGTACAGTCCACACTGGGTCTTCTCACGGCAAACACAACGACAGTCTTCCCACACGGGCTTGTAGGCATAGTCACACACCGGGCAGCTGTAGCGGCGAAAAAAAGACATTCAAATCAGTTGGTTTCAATAGTTCAGAAACATATAACACGTAACTGTGAATAGTTCCCTCATTACAAGCATATTCGATAAATTACATAATATAACAGGCGTCCACGTTCATCAATATAAGTATATACTCGGCTATGCTTCTACGTGGGGTGCAATATACTCACGTATCATTCGGACAGTAGCACGTTCCATCACTAGCTATAACCGAGTTCTGGCAGTTTTAACATTCACATGAACAATGACAGCCACCATCAGGTTTAACGATATCATAACCGCCATTTGGACACTCACAGCCACACTGCAAATATACACATTGATATAATGGGCAGAAATATAAAAACAGAAAAATATGGTTTCAAGATCGATTGATATACGGATCGTTGTACATAAAAATTCACTAAAATATCAACGTTTTACCTTGGTTCCATTATATTGAAACATAATCAAAATGATAACAATGTCTGGATTGTACTGCGCATAGAAATCATTCGATTCAACCATAATCTTAAAAACTCTTTACTTAAAACCTTCATGTCAATTTACACATTTTATTTTATGAATATGTACATGTACCGTACCTCACACGTGCCGTCTACGTTCATCTCCCGTGGCCAACCGTCAGCACAGTGACATCGACATGCAGGCTGAAAAGGGACATCAGTGACCAAAACTAAAAAGTTTTACCATCCGGGCACTTGTCACACTGGCAAGTGTGGTTATGCTGTCAATCATAACCAAATATTAACAACTGGTTCCATATCATAATATGACTTTCATATTTGTATTTCAAAAATTTGCCATCGACTTAAATTTGTAAATGTTGTATTTGGTTGCTTTCGGCCATGAAGTTTGATCACTCACGTTTTGATGTTGAAAGACTAATGGGACATATGAAGCAATAGAAAATGCCCTGCAACACATAAACTTATTAGTACCAGGATTGTTAAGACAATAAAAACACAAATCACCTCAATACTACTGCTTCCATCAGGACATAGGCAGGTACCAGGTCCAACAGCACACGTGGTGGCTACGGTAGCTGGCCTACAGTGCCTGTAATGTCGGTTAAAATGTATTTCTTAATGATCACCATTCAATGCCCTTAATGAATATACCTAAATGTGGTATAAAAAAGACACAATTTAAGTTCCAATATCATGGCCTCGAATTGATAAGCTGACGCTCTTGGTTAACATTTCTATAACTGTATGGTAATGCACCTTGATATTGAAACACCTAACTGTTGGCGCTTGATCTGAAATACGTAATACACACAGCGGATACGAAGATGTCAAACACAACGGTTCACACACTTACGCAGAAGCTTTTACAGAATCAGGAACAAGCACATACCCTTCAAGGCTTGTGAAAATCGAATATGACGCATCTAAACGAAGAAACCCAGCGTCTTTTCTGTACCCCGGCCCCGCTTTGTGGACCACAAGGTGCACGCCCTCACGCCCGGAACAGATATTAGAACAATTGGTAATGTCCAAACTGTCCGTGATAGGGGCTGTAGTCGTGTATGTGACAGTCTCAGACTGACTGACAACACCGGGGTCTGAAACGACAATGGCATGTTTCCTGCACTCCAATCACAAATAAGCTCCGTGTATTGTATTCACACACTCACGTACGTGCATGCACACCACCTGCATGTGTCTTCTACTACACTGCAATACTCTAATAAAGCAGCCATCGCTAAAAGGTACATACAAACCGAGCATCGGTGGAGCGTGGATTCCCAGTAACACATGTAAACCACTTCTACTAGATTCTTATATAACTCAAATAAATTCGACATGCCAAGGGATTAACTGAATAGATCACTCGATCAGCCGTAAAAGACCTTTAGACTGCTCCTTTCTTTAAATTTTTGGTTGTAAATTTAACCTACTTTCGTGACTTACTTTCCTGCCCCATTGACATACAGCTTAGAATGCCAGTAGAAAATCCGTTCAAACATCAATTTCGGGTAAAATTAAACAATGCCTTTTGGTAATTCTCTTAGTTATACTACTTGAAACTATATGCTGGCATTTGGTTGGTTTTTGTGACAAATTAACTTTGTATGCATCTTTAAGAGTCCCTAACATGCGTATAGTCGTTTCTGAAAGGATAATACTAACGGAATTTTTACAATACTACAAATCAGTTCCAACAGCAAATTTATAAAGCAACGTAAACAAATGTGCCAAGGCATAGGTGTTCGGCCGTGCTACATGTGTACATACACGTAGGTTCTGCTGGTGTTCTATGCCCTGTTTCCTGATGGCTTCATTATGCGGTCTCACTATGTGTACGTCGGAGCATCTGTGTTACAGGGACCAATATTACCAGGGGACGTATAATGATATGCAAAGACATGTGACAACCGTATTGGAACACTAGGACTCTGGAGTAGGACTTACCTATCAAATTCTTTAGAAAACGAAGAACGAGCGAAGGGTTGACGAGGTCGTAAACAATGGTATCCGAGGCACTGGGAAACTGCACGTGCAAACGTTTATGTGAACATTGCCCATGTCATCTGCGTGATCTACATCATGTGTCACGTCAGTCACCTGGAAAAACAGATCCTTCAATTTAATTATAGCTACAGTGGCGCATAACTCCCACTAAAGGCTCATTACTTTTTATATCAGAATCAACTCATCAGGTTGCCTGTATTCAACAGAAACAGTAATTTCCAGACGACAATTTAATATCTGAAAGCCATAATCACAACTATATTCAGAATAAAATTGGAATTTATTGTCTTTTAAATATGTACTCCTAGCATGTTAAATTCTTTGATAACCTGCATTAATATCTACTACTATAAATAATTTTATTAATAAAGTACAGAAAAACCGCTCAAATGTTACACTCCTTAGAACAATGAAAATACCAATGGTACAATGGTTAAACTGAATAGACAAATAATGTGAGTAGACCGTTCACTACACTGTAAAAACAGTGCTTAGCTTGTGATAGACTTGTTATAGAATCATATGCCGGTGAAGCTAAACACATAGCTAAACGTGTAACACTGCCAGCGTGTCTAGCTTTTTCGTCTGTGAAACCCTTGAAAAGCTATACGTGCTTAGCTTTTACACATATTTCTAAATGCGTATAGGTGCCTAACGTGTGTTGTATGTATTTAAATGCTAAACACTGTTTTTACAGTGTACGAACATCAATAACAGAAACAAACATCGGCACCTTACAGAAAAAGTGGGCGCCTTTGAATAGACTGGTAGCAGCTAGTGATGCGGGGGGGGGGGGTATTCTTTCTTTTTCGCAAAGATAAATTCACATTGTTTTTTTGTTAAGAACAAATTCTGATTGAAATGCAGTAAACCAAAAGTTTCATAATTTTTCATAAGTTTTCCTAGATTATTTTTCAGAAAGGTACCATTCCGATGTTGTGACATCCACAGTATTAGTTAACTTCCCTGATAAAACAAATGTAATTTTGTCAGAAATTGATTTCAATGACACTGAGATCAAAGTAATAATCGATGATATGGATGCATCTAAGGCAAGTGGTACGGACTCGATGACGACAAAAATGTTAAAACTAAGCAAAGACGTTGTTGTGAAACCATTATGTATTTTATTTAATTATATTATTCAATCTAACACCTACCCTGACCTGTGGAAAATGGCGTTTATTTGCCCGATTTATAAGAAAGGTGACAGAAGTTGCATAGATAACTATAGACCAGTGTCACTTTTGAGCGTCTTATCAAAAATTTTGGAAAAAAATATTTATAAAAGGATGATTTATCATGTCCTTAATAATAATTTATTGTTTGAAAAACAATCTGGGTTTCTTAAGGGTCATAGCACTGAACACCAATTACTGGCAATTCAAAATTTGATTAGATCTAATTTTAGAAAGGGCCGAGATGTAAGAGGAATATTTCTTGATATTTCAGCCGCTTTTGATAAAGTTCCGCATAGTTTATTACTATACAAGCTGTCAGCCTATGGTATTAAAGGTAACCTTACTGTCACTATTATCCTCTTATTTGAGTGATAGAAAAATCAAAGTCCGTATCAATCTTCCAAAGAATCTTATATCAACACTAGTGTTCCACAAGGCAGCATTTTCGGCCCTCTACTCTTTCTCCTACAGTATATATAAATGATCTAGCAGACAACCTTTCATCAGATTGTTTTCTATATGCTGACGACACGTCTATTTTTCAATCTTCTCTTCCTTCTGACAGCCAGTTGCACGATGCACTTCAATCTGATCTCTCAAAGCTTGAGGAATTGTCTTCCAGATGGAAACTGGAGTTCAAACCTGATAAGAGTTGTGAGGTTATATTCTCTACCAAGGTTACAGCAAATAAATATAGAAATCTAATATTATGTGATTTAACGATACCCCAGAAATCATTCCACAAACATCTCGGATTCGTACTAGATTCAAAACTGTCTTGTGCCGAGCATATAAGTTATTTAGCTTCTAAGGCCCAAAAGGCCCTGAATCCTCTTAAGTCCCTGTCCCATAGGCTCAGATCTAGGCACTTGAATATACTATACAACGCTTACGTACTGTTTCTGCTTGATTACTGCTACATCCTCTATCACTCAGCAACTAAAAGGAATCTTTCTAAACTCTCTTCTATTCACTATCAAGCTGGTCTGCTTGTTCTGGGTGCCCTGCCAGGTTCGAACACAATTAAAGTACTTAGAGAGTTGAACTGGGCTACTCTGGAAAACCGTAGAATAATGCATGCACTATCCATCACAACATGGCGCCTACATACATTCTTAAAGATTTCCTGTCTTTTAAAAATCCAATAACCCCGCAAACAAGAGAGTCCTCGTACAGAGATTACATTATCCCAGCTAAGTTTACATCCCAGGGTCATGAATACTTACTCGTGTCTTCATGGAATAGTCTCAGTCTCGAACAAAAGTACACCCCAAATATCGCGTTACTTAAGCATTCTGAAATCCGAACTCTTTTCTGGTTCGTTATCAACCACCACCCTAAAGTTAGAAAGAAAGAATGAAAAATATCTCAACCGCGCGCGTGTAGATCTATTGTTCAAATCCCAATTATATAACCATAACTGGAACTCGGTAAATTCTCCGAACTGCTCTTGTGGGAAACCTGAGACTATACGCCACTTTTTCTTCTAGTGCCCACTGAGGCAGTTGAAGTATCGTGATTTTCATTTGTCTATTCAGAATGCCCTGGGTGCATAATGATCTTCGTTGAATTCGGTGTTTCTGAAAATTAAAGAAGCGCATTAGTTTAAAACAGCATACAGATTACCTAAGAATAGTTGTACAGTGTTGCAATTGAAAAATGGCCGACCTGTGATATTTCCTTAATGGGTAGCCATTGCTTGTAGCAAGTACGTATTCCTTATTTGAATTAATTACAATAATGGTTGCAAACAATGAAATTACAAAAACAACAAGCCATGACTTTTATTCAACAATCTACAACTTCGTGGTGTGCGCATTACGTTGTTTACGTTAAGAATGTAAATCACTGGACCATCCACACCTGACCAATGCTTCATAACTGTTGTTCATGTTGTAGTCAACGGTTGCATCCAGTCGGATCCCTATCTTCTGTGCTTTGGGAACTGTGGACTGTAGATGGAGCTGCAGTCCTGCTGTCACCACTATATTCATGTCAACTGACAGCTGCTTTCTTAACACTGAGGTTGTCTATATACAAAGGTAAATATTCGTCTTATACACTGCGATATACTTAAGGGAAAATAAAACTTGCACAAAGCGAAGGGGGATGGAGTACCGCGTGCATACATGTATTCCAGAATATGTTTCGTGTGTATTATAAGAAGTAAGTACTTAGCCTTAATACAACACATTATATAATAAAATTCATTTTATTATTAGGTAGCTGCATCGGTAGCTCAAGTATTTACCGTTACGTTTTCCATATCATGATTAAGTATAACGACAAGCTACAATGTTTGTAATAACCAATGTATTCAATACATGCAGGAACAACATGCAAGTTGGCACCGCAGGTACATGTAATTACCTCAAACACCGCCTCCTTTTTCAGTGATGTAAATATGCCATCAGTGGATATTTGGTTGTTCAGCCGTCTGTCGGGGTGGAAAATAGTGTAGGGAGCAGACGTCAGCACTGTGTCTTTGTTTAAGTCCTGGATAGGGATACACTCCAGGAAAATGTAGCCCCCTTTCTCAAACCTTGAAATAACCTGAATAGAAATATATACACGTATCTCTCGTGAAGCCCAGATTGGCGATTGGTATGCTAAATATACTTCTACATCTTCATATGTTTATTCTATAAAGGTCATGCAGACAATGTAGAACAATTATGCATTATATAGTTTTAACGTTATATGCTCAATATCAAAAACGGCTCATCTCCCTTTGTAACACAATTCTATAGTCTACATGTATATGCTGCAGAGTCAAATAGTGATATGATATACCAGTCAAGTCATCAGTTTACCTGACCGAGGAAGGCGCCGGATGTACGTCCTGGAATAACGTCACCTACGACTGGTGGCGCCGTCTCTTGATTCACTGACTCACTAATGTGCAGGCTTCTGTCATTTTGTTCTCCGCCGTGACAGTACATTGTGTTAGATGTGGAGACAGGGGAGACAGCAATGGGACTAGAAAACACATTGAGTACGCCACATGTTATGCACTTTTCTATATAAAAATATTAAGTGTCCTTTATATGCATGTGCGAACACATTAAAAATGTACAGTAAACTTTCCTGTGACATTGGATACTTCTTTTCAAATTTAAATATGTTTTACGCCTACTGTTGACCAATTATAAGCAAAAACTGAATTGTACCGTGTCAGTATTCATAGAAAATATCAGAATATTGCAAAAAGACGACAAAAGTAAGAGTTGTCGTTACTAAAAATATTATGTACAGTTCGACCGGGACCGGAAATTAAATATGATGTACTACACATGATGTAATACAAAGATGTAATACGACACAAAGAATACATCGTATACAAATACGTCATTCACCTAAAAGACATAGCCTGACAACACGTCTTCACTTTGGCGTGATACGTCACAGCCTCAGATTCTGTTACAATATCCTCTATGTCCTCGAGGAAGCCCTGGCCCTGGCTTTCCCCGCTGACTACCACATCACAAACGTTAATGTGTTTTGACATACTCTGTCGTAGCACAATGTACTGAGACGCCACTGGTCTTATGGTGACATTGTACCAATGTCCAAGACATTTAAAAACATGGTCATCTAAAATGAGAAATGAGAATTTTTTTATCAGCTGTGGTTCACATATTCATCAAATAAAAACGTACGCTACTTTCTGTAGTGTAAGGTAAATGTTTTATATAAGTAAACTTTGCATTCAGTTTTTCAACCATTTATATTTATCGTTTATTATTATTATTATTATTTGGGGAACAATTTGAAATCAGAACTCTTCGAGATTCACCTTTAAGCACGTGAACTAAGGAACCTCTAATGGCTGCGCCTTCCCACATGTAGGCAATTTTAAAAATGCGTTCCTCCGGCACGTGCTCTAGCGTCCTATCATCCATGAGGGAACGGACAGGAACTATTTGGTTAAAGTTGGCATACTGGATGACATCTTCCAACGAGGCCCTTACAGCGGCAAAATATTGGTATGTTCCTGAACAAAACGATTGCCATATCTGTTAAAAACATATAATACTAGTATAGTGGTGTATACTGAATCATGCAAATGTTATAAGCCTATTAAAATACATTTAAAGGGGGGGGGGTTAAATTAAAATCTCGCTTTAATGAAATGTACCATTGATGCTATTCATATTGATACTTAACCAAAAGTGTGAAAGGGCAACTTATGTTGATAAAATAACAAATTATGACACCTTGTCAACCCTTGCTAAACTACGTCTTAGTGACCATAAACTCCACATCGAAACTGGGCGGCACACCAGGCCAAAAACTGAAAGGTGCGACAGAATCTGTCGCCTGTGCACCCANCATACATTGAAAATCATGACATACACTTTGTCCAAAAATGCATGTTTATATTTTATGCCGATTATTGGTTAAACGCCATTGAAATGCAACTTTTATAAGACGTACTTCAGGAAATATCACTGAACCAGAGAGAACAACTACTGACATACATGTAACGTCATAAGTTACGTCAAAAAAGTATTCGACATCGTACAATTAGCCAGAAGTATTTCCATACATTGTATATTTGGTTGACAAATAGTGTTACATGTAGTATAATAAACGCACCTTTTTCTTGAGTTGCATACACTTTATGCATGATTCCTCCAGCTTGCTTGCTGACAATGACAAAATCTTTGGACCTGGGATACTTGACCTTGTCTCTGGTCACAAGAATGGAGTGACCTATCAAAAATTATTCATACAGATGGAAACAAAAATCAGCATGCGTTTTAAATTTTAATTCAATTGCTTGCGAAAGTGAATATTGAAGCGTAACTGAAATAGGAACAGCATGCCCACTGGAATACCTGTATCTTTATGATGAACTGTGGGTTAACCTTTGGTACAGTAATATATTTGTAGTAAAGGGCATCAGACTTTTTATTAAGTATATATAAAAGTTATCGATAACGGAGCTTTTATTTGTAATATTTGTCACATTCGTCACATGTATTGCAGTAACATGACGCTATGTTCAACACAATGTACTTACAGGCTTGCAAACTTTTGATAGAACACAGAAAAGGCATATCATGAGATATCTTGTATTCCACTTTGCGTCATATTTCAATAATTCATAAACATTACAGATATCATACATGAATGCTCACCTCTTTGTTCCGTGTTTGATATAGGGCACACATAAAACTCTGCATTGCCAGGCTTAATGACCTTCACGTGTGCGTGCAATGTCGTATCTAAGGCTCGGTCGCCATGGTTATAGACCTGTCGCACTAGGCCATTTGGGCATTTCCGCATGTCCCATTGACGGCAGCTATATGAGATCTAACCGGTGTAATATGCAAGAAAACATATTTCCTAAGGAAATTTGCAGAATAATTAGACATAAATCTTTAAAGGGTTTGCTTCATGCCGTCAGAATGGCCTGAACGGAACATATTCTTCAGAAAACATGCCCAACTAACGATATCTTTATCCAAATACACAAATTAAAAGCTCATTTTGTAAATTTTTGTCTTTAAAAAACGTCCTATTTGCTCGGCCTGGGAGTTAATGAGCTACGTGGTCACGTGGTCCAATGACCACAATCGAGCCACTGGAGAACAGAGCGTGCTTAGCTGTCAAACTGAGCTGCATTGTCTACCTGTAAGATGACTTCTCTGGCTTCTGAGTTTATACTCATTCAAATCTCTTACCCGAGGGGTCTAAATCCTCGTGAAGCTCTGTAAAACCATTTCCCGTCTAGTCATTTCTTTAACAAGCATTTCATTATGGTTATCCCAAGTTGTATAAAACACTGCATTTGAATGAGTTAAGGGAAATGTTGATAATTGCATATGAGGTCCATGTTATTTGTGAAATTCAATTTATTTTATTAAACCGCTGACACTCCGTCTTGCATACTTTTATTAAACTGAGGTAAACAATGCCCGTTACCTTTACAAGTCCTATCTTAATCATCCATCTACCTGGAACTTCCTTTACCTCTTAATTAGAGGGTTAAATGGCATTCAATTTGTCTTGCTTGTATCGAACGCACTCTCTATCTAAGCTTTACTCCAGTTATCTCAGGTAAAAATCTACCTGTGCGTTAGTTACAAAGCGCAGCTCCCGTAGACCTGGGGGTACTAGATAAAATCTGAACACCAGGTTTATCGAGGAGCTAGAGAAAGAAAGGAAGAATTTTTCCTGCACAACTTCATAGGAATTTTAACACGGACTTGATCCAGCTTAGACCTCCAAACTAACAGGGTGACATGGGCAATTTTCACAAACAAATCATAAAACTATATTTCAGTTAACCGCCTTTAAAATAAATATACCGTTCTGGGTAAATTAAAATAGTTATTAAATCGCAAGAATATTTTTGACTTAAATGATGATTTTATTATTAATGGAAATTAAGCTACTATATGAGGTACATTTGCTGTGATTACGCTGTCCTTCATGTTTTGCGTAAGTCTACATTTTGCTGTATGTGCTTGTAATCTTTTTAAATATGTGCGTACAATTTTTGCAGGTCTGGTTACCCCCCTGTTATGTGATGAGAGTATTAATTTGGCAATTAGTTCCTTAGCTTATTTGAATAGAATTGCAGTGTAAAATTTTCAACAAGATGTTGGCGAAATAGCCCATTACTCTTTGTAGGTATTTCCCCCGTCAAAGTTTGTCTAAAATTATCTTTCAATCTTTACTCTTTCAAAGACAGTATAAAGTTACCTGACATATTTTCGTGTAAACTTAATGACAAGCCAAGTGTCTCCAGTTCATTCCGTACTCAATTTTACCCAAGCAAATTTTTTTCTTGAGTAGATCTTTATAGCACGGTGTTATAAGCTTACAAATTTGCAAAAAAAAAAAAAAAATAAAAAAATAAAAAAAATTGCGTACTGACGCAGAATTTGCGTTTCAAGTTATAAAATAATCAATCTTTTAAATTATTTAATATTTCAGATGAAATAATCTTCAGAAACAAATCCTCAAAGCATAAACGAATTAGGATAACGAACCATTTTATTATAGCAGTTCCCATTTTTTCTTTAATATAACGCTCTTTTTCCTGTTTTTCCTCAACACGTTTTCTTCCACGGAAGCTTCAAGATACCCTGAGAGCAATTTCTTTTATTAATGTTCGCGACCGTGTTTGAACTTAATTGTTTAAGTATTGATATTTAACGTCATTTACAAATACCAATAAAATAACCCCATGAAATAAATGAGATATATTGAAAAATATGAAAGCCCACCAAGACGAGTTTCATACCTGTTATTACCTGGCTTGGGAATTGCAGCGGTGCATAATTAACAGGTTTGTTGTAAACGAGCTTTTGGTCAACTACAATGCATTTAAAATGCATCAGCAATCAGTAAGTTTGCCAACTGATGACAGTTAATCTGAAAGACTACCAGCTCTTGATATGATCTAAACCACCTGAGGTGACCATGATCTAGAGCATCGCAACTATTGTCACCGAAGTTAGTAAGTAAGTCACGGAAGACCGTCACAGACAAAGAAAGATTGTCAACGAGAGCTGCAATTTTGGTGAATCCCACGGCAACACACCGAGGCATAACGAAAATTCCTCAACTCCGTTCAACACAACTTTCCTTAACTTCTCCGTCTGTATGCACCATGCAGCTCAGTTGAGTCTCATAGACCTTTATCGTGATTGTCGTCACAGTACCACGTGACCCAGATCTGTTGCTTCATTTTTGCATATTGAGGTGAGGTTTACTAAAACGCTTTTTTTTCTACTAATAGATTGTTTTTATAATTTTTAAATGGCGGGGATCGATTAAAACATACCTCTAGTGTATAGATTGAGTGCTGTATCTTCAAAATTCGAGAAATGGATTTTTACATGAACATTGTCCTTTAATATTCTACATTTATCGGTGAATGGTATGCGTTCAGTTATTAAATATGAAGAAACACATATGTATGTTATTATATAGTGCAGTCATCATTACTTACAAGAAATGGCATTTACATATTTACACAAATACGGAAGGATTATAACGGCACCCAATATAATGTGAAACTGATTGTGGGTTCGTTAATGGTTTATTGTTCTTATTATTTTTATTTATATTATATTAAATTATATATATATATATATACTCTCACTCACATCGTCAATGAAGCAGGCCTCCACGTCTCTACACCTGTGGCAGAGCTCATCATTGGAATACCGTATGGTAGAGTTACGATGTCGGTAGTCACAGCCGATATACTGAATACATTAAATATACGGCATTCATGTCAAAAACGAGATGATGGTGATTTAAGCCGTTATCAGTCTTTTCACATGAACCCAATATTTTTTAATCATTCGGAATTGACAGAGTATGGCAACAGAAATAGCCGGAATACAGTGATCATACAATCCATTTAAAATCTTACTAATACTGTATCAGATCTCAGATTTGTTTAATTTGTTATTAATTTTACATTTGGCACCTAACTGGGACTTTTACACCCCACAAATTCATTTTCATACTATTAAAATCATGTGTAGCTTCTGCATATGGTAATAGCGTATATATTGTAATAACAAACGTATCATAAAAGCTTGCTTTAATCAACATACCTCAACTTGACTAGAACATCCCATGTGTGTGTCTACAGAGAAACAGTCGTGATAGAACCATGTTCCACACTGCTCTCTCCACGGCTGAGACTCGTGACCTGGCAGACATCTTTGTTTGTGGTCACACCACCCACACCCGGGCTGTTCAGTGCAAGATCTACATGTGCTGTACACGGGGCAGTAGCTTACTGAACAGGCACGGCCCTATGAACAAAAAGGGTCATACAATTGAAAAACTATTTGTCAGTGATAAGATATTACATGTTTTGATAAAGGCATTTTAAAATTAGTGCACAGTTATTTAGCCCATTTGTCTGCATCATGGTTTGGTCGTGGAAACAGGACCGAACATCTGATATTGTGTACAACAATTTTGCTTGATTCATTTATTCAGGATCTTCTTCTAATGAAATTCAATATACGTAACACCATCGAGACAACCTCGTATCCAATGAAGGGTTTACCTGCCAGCCAGGCTGACACCTGCACTGGTTAGGTCCCACACATGTCCCGTACTGTCCACACTTGTTCCTGTCTCTACAGTGGTACACGGAGCAGTCCTTTCCTTCCCAGCCTCGGTTACAGTGACATCGTTTATCTTTACCACACCGTCCATTGTAGGTGCAGCCATTGGGACACTCGTTAACTATGGTACATATAGAAGGTTAATGTTGTTTAACGATGGGGATAGGAAATGTGGAGATACTTTGTAAATACAATGAAAAATACAGTGGAAATTAGGGCATAATAAAATATGATAGCGTACTTCAAACGCAAGCAGCCAGCTTGAGCATACATGTAGTTGGTCCCTTATGTACATTTGAAAATTAGGTAATGTTATTAGAATGTCATTTATGATAGTTTGTAGTAACATTATTACCTGCGGACCGTTTACAAATATACGGAGAAAGACTGAAACAATCATCTTTGTAGATATGTGCATTGCCGGCAATACTCGACAAATTGAACAGTGGGCATTTTCCGTCCTCCTGGAAACCGTTACAAAGATACATACACACAATGGACAATCAGAGTAATCAAAGTAGGTAGATCTTGAGTAGTTATAATGCCTGGTCCACTTATAATGTTACTAATGAGTATAAATCGTATTGTTGGTCTTTTAGTGAAATTTGATGTTAATAAAATGATACCAGGAGCATATCATTCTACAGTCATGTATCTCCCCCAAAGTATTGGTTCAGTAGGGGTGACACTTCTATTGTCCAGTGTGTGTATATGCGAGTAGATAAATCGAAAAATAAAAATATGTATAAACTATGCCACATAATCCAAATTCTCACTACCGTATGTTTATTCCATGTATGTATGTATTTGTTTTATAACATGTATGCTAACATGTCACATACTACACATTGATATTGTTAACCTCTTGTTCTGTCTGTATTTCATTTGTCATTGTCAATCTTTTCTATTCAAAACCGGATTGAAGAACACAAAATACCATACCTTATCCCACGTCTCCGTCCATATGCCAAAACTGCGCTCTCCCACCGCTCGTGACCGTAGTATGCTGATTGCAAAGGCTCGCTCAGACTTCGTAGCAAGATTGACCAACATACTGTATTGACCCTTGAACAAAGTAGTGGAAATATATGTAAGCAATCAATAATGTTATCTCACAAACTTCATCAAATATTTGCTACAGTGTATATCCCTCTCGGAATACAATATTTATCCTTGTTAGTAGACCAACGACTTGATAAATAAATGTCAATTGCATACCTCACAAGAAGCTCGAGCTTGAGTAAAGTTTTGTGCTCCCCCGACGTACAAGTAACACACCATCTTATTCTGCAGCCAACCAAGAGGACACGAATCTGGAACAGATACATTCTGTATCATCAGCAATTCACCCAAACGATTTACCATGAAACCAATGCTGATTGTTTTAGATTTACCAGATAGATACCTGGTTTATAAATATCCCTAGGGCAATTCACATATGGTTTATCAAATTACGTTCAAAACGAACTTCATTGAGTGTATTTTTGTATTCATTGTAGCCGAGAACCAAACCACCTACCAGAAGCTTCCTGTGGCTCACAACCGCCTCTGCCACACTCCTGTATTTCCGGATTCCAGACAAGATGGTTTGGGTACATCTTGGGAATAACGCCACCTTCACTGCAACTATAATACCGCCGACAAACTCTGGAGTCGGGAATAAACTGCCCTACGGGGCGCTTTGTTATCTGACGGGGGTTATCACCAGGGAAAACGCTGGGCCTTGGAATATAACATAACGAAATATCGTATGATATTGCCAGTTTTAATGCTTTTATTCAAAGAAATGATAATCATGCCTTTGGAAGCTTAATCCTTTATGTAAATAATTTGGTGAATTTTATGCCAATCCATTCATCTGTTCAACACCAAAATATTGGTTGATTTGTTTTAATTTACTTGTTATTGTTATTATCATTATCATCAATAGATTTTTGTTATCCTAACAAAATATACCAAAAGTAATTCAAGAAATACAATGATGAAATCACATGAAACATTATTAAGTTATCGGATCAACTTTTCATTTAAAATAACCAATAGATATCATGATATAGCAGAATAAAAATAAAAAATGCAAATATGACTTGTTTCAGCTACAGGGGTGTCAGTTTTGAAAACATTCTCACCTGTTTGATAAGAAGACATGGAATTGATGATTGGGTGTATAGAGACCTCGGGGTATGGGAACCCCGTGCCCCTATCTCGTAGCCTCTGCTTGATCTGCGCATGCTCTGTCAGACCCCACCAGTTGGAAGACGCATTCACAGTTGAAGAGGCCCCTTCACTTGTCATCTCAAATATAAATGTACGGTTTTGGAAGACGTTGTCATGGAGAAACGATGATGAGCCACCAGCAAATATGGCTGCCATGTTGTTTGCTTCTCTTGCAATATTGTAGTATATGATGTTGTCAGTGGTGACGTCACTCATGTTCCTATTGGCTGGCATTGTCCACCACATCACATGTAAACCCGTGTTGTTGTAGATGTAGTTGTTTGTGACGGTTCCAGACACACCCTCCAGGTGGATGACATCACTGTACCTATCTCCCTGTCCGTGTTGTATCACATTCCCATCTATACTGCATTGCTGTGTATGAGGACCGTCTTCTACTTCTACCACCTGAATGCTCTCTTGCTGGGTTGTAAAGAGAATCTGGTTGCTCCAAACGTTCAACTTATTGTTTTGGAGTCCTGGGGTGGATGCCACCCTGGTTCCCTTCCATGTAATTGTTTGCTAATGTAGCACTGGTGTCAGCGATATTAAGCCGAATAGCTGCTTTGGAATGTCCAGCTCGATGGGAAGTCGAAAGTCCTTTACTGTGAAATATGTTTTTGTTGATGTTTATATCCAAATTACTCTGTCCAAATGTAGTTATGTTAATTCCACCCAGACCATTGTTAAAGAAAGTGTTTTCCTCGATGCCAAAGTTGCCATTTAACCCTAAAAAGCAAATCCAACAGTATGCATTATGAAACATGTAAAATATACACGTTTACTTTTATTTTTACATACTGTAAATTTTAAACTCTTTCCATAAGAACTCCTACTAATTGACAGTTTTTGTATGAATGACAAATACCACAATGACATGCTACTAGTATGTATATGTGAGAATGTACAGTCTTACCTGTAGATGTGTCGCTGGAGATCTTGATACCAAAGACCATGCTTTGCAAACCATATGTGTCCCAGTTACTGGCCCTGCTATATAACCGGATGGTTACACTGGAACTGTTTATTGGAACATCTGAAGGAAGTGAATCGTTTGTCTGGTCAGCATAAAGAAGTCGCCTTGAGAGAAAAGGATATTTCCAGTTGAAAACGTTGCAGATTAAACTGTACAATTTGGATTGTGATATTCCGTCCAAGTTCAGAACGTATTGCACGCGTACAATTAAAATAATTTCCTCCATGCTGTTTTCCGTGAGAATAATAAACCAAAGTTCTATTATTAACAATGAGCATTTTGGAAGTTCTTTCGCAAATATTATGGACCCCATAAACGTCACTAGGCCATCCCACAGATTCTTGTTTGACTCTAGTATTAAGTGGTACACTTCTCGGGGAAGTCACAACGGCATTTATCCCAACACCTCTGTTGTTAACAAATCCGTTTCGTTTAATGATGCTAGATTTCACTGCTGGTCCAATTAGTTCAATACCGTTCAACCTTGACTGGACCACTCGTGAGTTCTGTATGATTACACTGGGGCTGAAAGACTGCACAGCTGCGCCGTACGTGTTTCCTTTGTAACCTGCATTAAAAACGACTACAAAGAGCAATTCCGAAGGGCTAGTGCTGACGGCATCTGAAGCAAACACCAATCCTTGCCAATGAGAGCAATTAGCTGTTTGGTATTGACAGCCAAAGGCAATCCTTTCTCTCTTTTCTCCCCTAGCAACTATCCGTCCCAGAACGAGGATCCCTTTGTCCCTTGCTGGCTTAATCCAAACACCAGGTTCAATGAAAACCTCAATGCCGGGCAAAATAGTCCAGTCTTCTTTTAGATAGAATGGAGAACCTGTTGCTTCTAATGTGATGGACTTGTTCAGCCACCCGCCAAGGACGTTTCCTTGTGGATGTCCCTCTGTGACGTCGGGAGTGTACACCATCTCGTTCGATCTTGACACAAATGGAAGTATTCGCACTTCCGGTAGATACATGTCGTTGTGTGCGTCATATATACGTTTTCTCACGCAACCGGTATTTTCACATCCCCACGTGTTGTACCTGGCTTCAATGGTGTCTGTCCATTTTGAAGCGCGAGTCTTGACATACACCTCTGCCTCCAGGTCCGGGTTTTGAAGCGTGTTGTTTTGAATGCAGACATTTCCATAACCATCTAATACTAGTGCAGCTGACACTGGGGGCTGTGATGACTGACGTTCGTTGTTGCCGAATGAATAAGTGTTGTTAGCAATGATATTCCCTACCAGTCCAACGTTTGGGGTTTTGCTTAGGTCATAGGATGTTTTCTCCATATTCATGAAGATGATATTTCTGTAATGGTTACCTAATATATCATTGTTCACGAATTGTATTGTCTTTTCATATCCCCGGTATAAGGTCATTGACCCAGAGCTGTACTCATTGTCTGTGATGTTATTCCCCGATACTGTCATATGTAGAGCACCACCACTGATGTCAAGTACACCCCCCTGTTATCAGTGATTTCGTTATTCAAGAACTGGATGTCCACATCTTTCGGTTGTCTTCCCGGACACTGTACTGTAACAATGTGTTCCTCGTGCCACTGATCCTACATCCATCAATGGTTAACTGTTCTCGATTTCTACGGTCAATATAAATTCCATAGTTACTGGAATCTAAGGTTGTATTTTTGATTGAGATGGCGAAAGATGGTAACAGTTCATTCATTAGGGGGGCATTAGACACTCTATATATCCTAACATCCATTGGTCTGTAGTTTCCCACTATAACTGAGTCTTTAATATCAACACTGACTTGTCCCACATCAGGGTAGTCTGGATGTCTTCTGTCAGTCCGTATTCCATTTGTGTAACCCCCGTATTGACCATATACTGCTGTGGAGGATCCACTGATTATAACCCAACACCGTTGATGATGAAAACCCGTAATCTGAGGTCCGACCTGGTTGTAAAGGTACCGCATTGTGTAAGCGTATTTATGTAGTGATAAAATGGCTCCATATCGCCTTCATTGGCCAGATATAATACACCGCAGTCTCTTTTATAGTGAGTAAAGTACCCTGTCATTGACCAACTGGATGACCCTGATTGAAACAATACAGCATATGAGTTTATGTCCTCCATCCGTGAATCCCTCAGAGTTGCGCTCAGTGTATATGTTTCAAAGGCGTAGTTATCTATATCTGCTATCACCATGTTAGTCATATCTCGCTCTAACCCGTCCTCGTATATTTGTCGAATGCCTCCTCCAGAGGTAAGAATGGCTACGTTGTCAAGGATATGTCGGTTGAAATCCACCTGTAAAGAAGGACCTTTTCAGTCATATGGCAACTGGCTGCGCGTAGGAAAATATTCAGAACGGAGCGCGAGCGCTGAGATGACGTCGCGGTCGAAATTTTGTTAAATGCGTAACCATCGCAGAAATTCATGAATTTTCCTTAATTGCCCTCATACGTGCTTGTGAAAAATTAAGACATGGTAGCAGAGTTCACTGCGCGTCTCGACGTGTGCGATTCACTTGCAAGGAAGCAGAAATGAACGAGTTAGAACTCAACGAAATCGGCCAACTGGTCAATTTTGGGCCGTAGCAACACTGTAACAATTTGAGATTTCTCCTTTATTAGAAATAACGCATCTTAGTAAAGTCCGTAAAAGGTGGCTTTTTTAATAAGAAATATAATTGTCAAGTTTCATCGAAGTTTATTGTAGCAACTTTTTATGCGAGCTGTTGAAGTGCATTTTTTGACCCTATTCCGCTAGGTGTCAGCCATATTCTGACGTCATATTCTCCAATACAAAAGCAAGTGAAGGTCTGAAGATTTAATTAAATTTCGAAAAGTAAAATATTTTTCACTTATTTGCACAATAAAATGGCCTTTTTTAGTATAATAAATAATATCTGAGGTGTTAAACTAATTTTACCTTCATAGATGTCTTATTTCAAAAGACGGACGTTTATCGGTTTCGCACCTGCACAAAACAAGCCGAGTGATGCGAATCCTCCTCGAAATTTGCTGCCATAAGTTTAATCTGCACAATTCTGCTTGACCCGGAGTCAAAGTATCCAGCAAACTGCATCACCACATGTTGTATAGAGCTGGGACGAGCCGTCAGACCTAATCGTATACCGGCCCACGTGGACTCTTGCGAATGCTTGGTGCACACAACTCTGAAGAACGAAGTGCACCTGTATCTTTGCATACCTGTGAAGCAGATATTTTCAAAGTCTGTTTTAGTCCTAGCACAATTTAGTTTTAACCCCAGTTTAGCCATATCAGAAATCGACCTCATGTACAAAAGAGAAGCATATCCAAGTCGCCTGCATTCTCCGTCCAACCATGTTGTCATCATCGGCTCTCTCAATGAAGAATCATAACAAACTGGCAATATATCTCCGTTCTCTTCTCCGTAAAGTTGTCCATAAAACGATGCCGAGCCATATGATTGCGATGGCCCTCGAAGCAACGAAAATTTACCAAAACCTGTTTTAGCTGTGACATTTTTCGTTGTAGACACCTTTCCCTTGGCGGTAAATATGCACTTCTTACTCTCTGTTCCACTGACATTAAGTCTTCCTTCAATGTACATCCCCACAGAATCTTCAAATTCTAAAACTACTCCTGGTTCTATGGTTAGTGTGGCGTTGGCTGTCACGTTCAGGTCATGTGTCACCGTGTACGGTCTACCAGTGTCTTTAAGAGTAAGGTCGGTGTTAATGCGGCCACCGAGTGTGTGGGGAGTTAGTGCTGGGTCCACTTCTATAGTTGCTGGGGACAAACTGGAGAGATCAGACGTGATATAGAACGGAGTGTATAGGAACTCAGTTCTCAGAGTGTAGCGTTTTGTATTATCAATAATCCCCGAGTAAACATCATGCGGGTTTGATGTTCCCCAGTAATTTCGTGACACATCAAGTGTTCTAAGGACGGAATTCTCGTGCCAAGCGGCCAGTTGATATTCGACCACAGGTTTTCAAAAATGTTGTCTGTGAATGTGAAACTACTTGGAGCATTTATCAAGACCATTACAGCACCCACCCTATGTCTTTTGTTGTCCGTTCTTACATTGTTGTTTCTAAAGTTATTTCCAGTCACGAACAAACTGTAGGCAGAAACACAAAGAACACATTGGGACACGTCATTATCGGAAAACTTGTTGTTGAGAATTTGGGAGTCGGTCTCTATTAATAAAGCCGCAGTCCCTTTTGTTTTAGAGACATAATTCTCATTCACCTGGACGGTTCTGAGTCTGTATGTTCCACATCTATTACCAGGGCCCAACATCAGGGCGGTTTCGCTTTGGTTGTGAAAGACATTGCCGTACACTACGATGTCTGTTAGGGCACACTGTCTGGTCCGCGGTACTGATATACCAAATAAATTATCCATCAGGGTGTTGCTTTGAATAATGAAGCTGATTTTATCTCATAATGTCCACACTGGGGTGGTGCCAACAAACAAAGCATACATAGAGGAATTAATGAATTCATTATTCTTCACGGTAACATTAATATTCCTCTGGATATGCTCAAAGTACACATGGTTCATGTTATTCATGAAGGCGCTGTCCTGAAGCACAATCGTACCGGATCCCTTACCAACGTACAGATCTGTGTCTGAAGAATGTGCCACGCGAGTCCCTGATATGCGAATTGGTTGCAGCTGATTCTCAATAAAAATGCCATATCTGGACTTCGTAACTTTGGCGCTATACATTGATAACTCTGTAGGGTGACCTGAATAAGCTGTAAAAATACATACTTGTTTACATATATTATTTTAAGTTACAATAGCGAAGTCTTGTCAAACATTATCATGAAATATGTATATGCTGACATTATAACAAGCATGAATTACTCGAATCGAGGCACGAAATCATTTTCTTTCAAAAAATTAATGTTAACTTACCGGCAACGGACCGAACTGTAAACATCCCTTGATATCGTTCGTCAATATTTAGGCTTGAAAATAGCAGCAAGACTGACCCGCCGGTAGTGTAGAGAGGAGACGGCATGTTTACGTCGGCACCGTACATATACACTCTCTCCAGCCGCCGGGAGGACGAACTGTTTCCGTCAAATATATCCAGTATGTTGCTATATGTATTCCGACGTGCCCTAATATATAGTACGCGCACCGCCAAAATGTATCCTGGGTTTTGACTTCGAAACACCTATATAATGAAACACAGTGATTTAAAACACGTTATATGAAACAGCGTCGCTTACATATCATCTACCCATTTACTTAAATAATTCAACGCTTGAGCTGAATGATTATTTATTCAAAATGTAAAGATGTATGACCAGAAACTTTTGTGTAAGTTCTTTTTTTATTATTTTTACAATATAGGCCACGCGTTGAACAAGTTAATTCTGAAATATGACAAATCAGTGAGCTTTTAAGGTCCAATAAGTATCGAGTGACCTACCTGAGAACAGGAAGACCTTGACCCCAGATGAAGGTCAGTACTGTCAATGCTGACTATGAGCGGTTCTCCATCAGGAACCGTTGTTTCCGGCAGTTGGCACATCTTATAGGAGGGCAGCGGAAATGTCCTGTTGTAATATAAACCTGCTTTATGGGCATTAGAAATCTGGACATTGTCCATTGCCAGGTTACTACCAAAGCTTCTGAAAGAAACCCCGTTGCCCATGCTGTTCTCAATGTTACTATTGTTGATTGCCGCATGTCCAGTTATATCTCTGAGTAGAACACCATTTCCGATGATATATTTGTGATGTTCAGGTTATCAAGCACAGGCGGGCTTCCACTAATCGATATGGCTGCAGTATCATTTGAGTGTGTCCTGATGTTAGGAAGACCAGCGAATTCGATGTCCACATATTGGAGAGCACTTACTCCTAACACGGAGGAGTTTGTCGCCAGCTCTATCCCAGACCAGTACTTGGCTGTTTCGTTGGGATTCCCACGATAACCAGAGTAACCTGAGCACTGCAGCCACACGTCTTGACTGTGAACTGAAAAATTGAACAACATAACGGCATGCATACTATTATGAACTTGGAACAACGGTATGTGAATGGAACTCAATGTTATTGTTCACAGTTTATTTTGGTTACAGTTGACTCATTTTATACATTTCTGAGAGTTGCTAAGTAATAGGAGAACGACAATGACAAAACCATTGGAAGACCACAGAGGGACAGGCGGCATTGGTGGCAGCTATTTCAATTTGTGTTTTTACTCACGACAAATAGATGGTCTAGGAGGTGGAGAACGAGAAGAAAGTGGACGTCTTTAAAATACTGTTTAACATATCGTATGCAGATCATTGCAGAAAAGATCAAAAGACCAAAGGGATGACTACACAACCCTAACGACTACAACAGTAACATTGTAGCATATTGGAATCAAAGACAAGACAAGAGCTCGCCAACAGATTTGAAGAGCTGGGTTCAAACGTTCCAGGTAAAAGATCAAACCTGAAGCCCTTGCAAGATCGACTAAGACCACAACATCTTTTACCTGGAACTAGTGAGGCTTGTGTGCATGAACTTAGATCTTGGCTCAAGTCCAACAACTTAGTCTTCAATGATGATAAAACTGAATTCGTCCACTTCAACTCTAGGTTTTCCAGAGACAGCACCAAACTAGACAGTATCAGAGTTGGAGATTCTGTTATCAAAACAAGCACAGATTTAGAAATATGGGTGTAATTTTCAGCAACCAATGTAACATGGCATCACACATTAACAAAGTGTGTAAATCATCATAGTCTGCAACGAATATCTAAGATTTTTCACCTTATTGACAACAAGCAAACAGAGCTACTCATTCATTTGTGACTTCTAGATTCGGTGATTGCAACAGCTACTATGATATGGAAAAACAGTTTATTCAGAATTCAGCAGCTCGTCTCTTTTGTAAAACTCAGAAGTCCGACCACATCACACCAGTTCTCCACGGTCTTCATTGGTTACCAGTCTCTCAAAGAATAGTTTATACGATCCAGATATAGTTTATCCGATCTCTTGACTTTGAAAAATGTAAAGGGCGACTGTCCATTTTATATGAACAATATAATAGAACTTTTAACTCCTTTTGGGACTCTTCGTTCCAGTGGTCAACTTCAACTCAAGCGAAATGATACCAAAAAGACTCTAAAAACATATGGTCACAGGAGTTTAGAGATTGCTGCACCAATTTTATGGTCCAATTTTATTAACGAAACATCTGTGTCTTTGAACGACTATTATTACTGTTTTTAAAAAAATCAAAACCCTTTTTATTTAAGGAATATTTTGGTTAATTTAATATCTTAGTTTTAAATACTTTTGTGTTAGTTTTTTATTAATCTTTTTTAGTTTTACCTTTTATATGTAAGTGTAAACAGCGCTGAGACGCAAGTGTAGCGCGGTTTTAAGAAATGTATTATTATTAGTATTATTAACATCACTTATTACGTGAAAAAAGGGCGATCTGTTTGAAGAAAGACATCTGTTCAAAGATGAGACTGAAGCACTCTTTGAATACAGTATCTCTATTGCTGCTATGCCTCTGAGAGCGCATTCAGAACAGCGGACTAGGAGTGGATTTAGAACAGATGATTTTCGGACTAACTGATCATCCGACTAATTATGGCAGACCCCAATTAAACGCATAGGAGTAGTTAGAATTGGACGCCAGGGTTCTTTTTTACGTGATGATTGTGTGAGGATTGTTTGTTTGCTTGTTTGTTTGTTTGCTTGTCTGTCTGTCTGTCTGTCTGTTTGTTTGTTTGTTTGTTTGTTTGTTTGTTTGTCTGTCTGTCTGTCTGTTTGTTTGTTTATTTGTCTGTCTGTCTGTCTGTTTGCTTGTCTGTCTGTCTGTCTGTCTGTCTATCTGTCTGTCTGCCTGTCTGTTTGTCTGTTTGTTTGTTTGTTTGTTTTTGAGGGAGGGTAACTATGTCTACCAATGCTTTTTTTAAATTGTTTTCTTTTTTTAAAGTCTTATTAATTTTTTTTCTTGTGTATTTTATTTTTTATGACATCATATTCTTTGTTTTTGAAAATCTTATCTTGTCTGTTTTGATTTTCAGTCTCGTCTCATCTTATAGCCTATGGGTAATAGTGCGCTTGCAATGGAGTTTGTTCCAGTGCATTATTGGGTCGTTTGGGTCGTTTCCTTTGAACGGGTTCTTTTAATGTTTTATCAAACAGCTTTCTTTAGGCCCCGCCAAGGGACGGTCAACTCCGCTGGTAATGGTGGGCGGTCGTTGCGGTGAACCTATAGTCCTATATGGCGGAGGGAGTGCTGAGAGATGTGTAGAAGTAGTCTTCATATACACTGTTTCAGCAACCATAGGGTAATGGTACTGTCCTTCTTGTGTTTTTTGTCGTTTCCAGTATGATTGTTTCTCGAGGGACAGTTCATCATTCAAATCAATCTTTTCGTCCAAGGTAAGGTCATCTCTTTTCCACAACTTGCGTTGGTCTGCTTCTGTTTTATCAGTTATTTTGGTAAACGGTTGCGCCTTATATTTCTCCTCTTGTAAATACTTTACAGTCTCTGATTGGTACTCATCATCGTTGTTTTCCTCGGGAAATACACCAACGCGTAGACGACATTCATCTGGAGTGTCTTGCTTTAGATCGATGAAGAGGTAGCCATGAGGAGGAAAGGTTGCTTGTTTAAAAACTCGGAGGAAATCTTTTACCTCACCGGGATACATATGCTGGCCTAGTGTTCTGACCTGCAATGTGTCCCTTGGGTTTTGACGAGATAATGGCAGTTCAAGGAGATGGTTCTTACTTCCTCCTCTCAGGGAAAAAGATTTTGGGTAATAAGGATGACGCTGACGTTGCGATGATGTGACACTTTGGTAAATAAGTCGCGTATTCTGCTATCAACCGCTGCTTTGGCAAATAGGTCGTCAAATACTATGGGATTGTTCACATTAGGATCAAAGAAATCGTCATCTTGGATATTGGAAGGAATGCCTTGGTGAAATGTAATAAAACCCTTTGACTCGACCAGCATGGATATTGGAAGGAATGCCTTGGTGAAATGTAATAAAACCCTTTGACTCGACCAGCATGACTTCATATAAATGTTGCCACATATCGTAACACCAAATTATAATCTGTGGGCGTGGTGAAATCATTGATTGAGAAATGTTCACAGGTTGTAGACACACACAATAAATAACAGTCGCCTATTTAAGTGTCGAGTTTCTTTTCTGTGTTTAGCGGTGAAAAAAAAGGCGCCTGATTATTAAGTTTAATTTTTTCGTGATAGATGTAGATCACTCTGAAATTCACCAAAGAAACATCCGTCACATTGGCCTTAGGCTATTATAAAAGATTACACAATTGCAATTGCATGGTTTTTAAAAGTAGTCAGTACATGAATAAAAATAACAGGTATACGTAAGATACTCACAACAGTTGTGTACACGGACCCCATCCTGCGGACAGTCCCAGAAAGAGCTCTCATGTCCTTTGCATCTCACGTTGTTCAGAAGAATACAACCAGTGCCACTGCCTCTGCTATATACTTTGGTACACGTTTGATATCCCAACATCCTGGCAACAACTCTGTTGTTGTTGTTGTTGTAGTAGTAGTAGTAGGAGCTACCCCAGCCATTCTGACAAACGGTGCCAAAACTACTTGAAAGGAGAAAATAACACGTTCTCTTTAACAAACATTTGTAGAGATGGATATTCAGGCTATAGTAGGAAGTCAGGTTCAGATGGGGGCTAACAATTCAAAACGATTAAAAAATAACGCCTGTCTTTGGTCGTGCGGGTGGGGTGGGGTGGGGTGAGAATCTTGCATTTATAACTGATGTATTTAAATATGTGAGAGGGGGTAGTAATTTCGCTTTGCCTCCTACCACCTCGGCTCCTATGGTGATAAGCCAAATAATGATAAAACGTACTCTTTATGTGGTTTACCAGCCAATATTAATGTTCGACGGGAATAACGTTTTCTCCTACTCTCGAAACATTACTCGAATGCACTTGGATCCAACGTATAACATAAATTCAATTTTTATTTTTTGGCATAGTTCTAAAAAACTGGACAGCAGCAACTATTGTTGTAACAGTTTGTAAGGTCTGAATTGGGAGATATTAATTGCTTTGCAGGAAATGTTGACAGATTTCATTCCACAAACCTCGAGGTGAGAGTTTTGTTACGTCATTTTCTTATTATAAAAACTAGAGTTGTAACACATAATTAACATTTTGTAACTTACAAAAAAGAATAATAAACTAGACTGCAACTGGCTGAAGCCAGTGGCGGAGGATTCCCCTGCAAAATAGGTGTGGAAATGCTCTTACAAGGTCATGTGAAGGTCATGGGTTAAATTTGACCCCATATTCTGAAAGGGCATGTGCGAATTGGGGGCGGGGGGTCAAGAAAACATCACTTTTAGCCCACTTCAATATTTCTCCATGAAATAGCCGAATAACCTTGAAAATGAGGGTCAAGGTCAAATTTGACATTTGATTTGGGGGTGTTGGGTATATGTTTGGGGTAGTTTACTATAGCATTATATCACAAAAAATCAGGATTTCATGGAGAAATTGACAGTCACTATTTCTGTGAAATTATTAATATTTAAAAATCTATATTAAAAAACTAATCAGTCAATTGTCAATATTATTAGATACTGCACTGGATATATATCTAGGGCAACTTTTTACATCATCCTTGTGGCTCTGTGACATCTGGTTTACCCCTGCCGAGTGTCAACCTCCTGGAGCATATCGTGCAATAATTTTGACCTTGACCCGACCTACTTTCCTAAAATTGGGTCATATGATAAAGAATCATTGTGTGACCTCACCTATGAAAGGATTTGTCAAAATGTTGAAAATTCTAGGAGATATTGCATTTTGAAATTTGCAAAAATTTCACTCTAAAAGGCATTGTGACCTTGAAAATTAGGTCAAGGTCAAAAAAATTGGGTGGACCGAAATAACTTTTCATGGACAATCAGTATGAATTTTTTTCAGAATTTTAGACAGAATTTTTTGACGAAAAATAATAATAAGAAGAAGAAGAAGAAGAAGAATAACAAGAAAAACAATAGTATTCCCCAATAGGAATCCTAATAAGAACAGGAAAAACAATAGTATTCCCCTATGGAGAATCCTAATAAGAACAGCAAAAACAATAGTATTCCCCTATGGGGAATCCTAATACAATATGAAAAAGAAAAAGAACGCTCCAAAAACACAAAGACATTCTACACTGCAGATACCTTGCAGGCACCATCGAACCAAACAGGTGGCTGCTTATCATCCCTTTCAACATTGGGTGGGTCTGCAGCCGTGAAAAGGATACGTTTGTCCGGTTGTCCCACTGCCAAAAGCCGTCCCTCAACGCGCACGCCGACAGCCAGGTCGATTTTAACGGTAACGCCAGGTTCTACATTCAGCGTTACCCCCTGCGGTAGTGTGATGGAATTGTTGACGTGGAACGGTTGATCTGATAAACGTAACGTCAGATCCGCGGTAGGCGAGGTGTCTATGACGGTATAAGCATTCGAAAGCGCCGAACGAGTCCCGAAAATTATGAAAAAAAGGAGAGTAATTTCCCTCCAACTCCGGCCGGTTCCATGTCTCACCTTCGAGTGAGGTTATTTAATCATATAATTTATCGTTATACTTCCAATGAAAAGCATATCTTATCAACAAGGAAAGTTAGAAGATCAACATTTCTATCTTGTTCAAATTAACGATGGCTGACTTAGTGACTTAGTGATTGCAAATATATTTAAAGGGATAATAACTCTTCGTGTGATATCTACAGGGTTACTACTTAATATGGAATATTATTTTTTGGCAAGAAAATTTTCTACAAAATATTTATTTTCTCTCCAACTACTTTAAATCCAAAAATGAGGTGTCACTCCATGTGTAGCCAGGTGTGTTACCTAATTACCACACAATTCTCGAGGCAATTGATGCATGCAGTTGCATGTTCTGTGGTCAGAAATGTGAGGGGTGGTCTTTTCGGCAGTTTCCGCCCTTGTATAAAAACGCATGGGTTCGTTCAATCTTTGGAGTGTGTTTAGAGAAGCAACAAAGGGATCGCTCTGAAACTTGACAGGTACCTTAGTGAAGATATGGTTCGACAGCTAAGCAACGCAGCTTACTATGGGATTCTTTCTCTCAGAGAAAATTGCCAGAAACCGACAGCCATTGCCAGGTAATTCAACATTTATCTGGAACCGTTAGTTAAGTCCTCCAAAGAAATGCTGCAACAGGGGCACCTACTCCAATAACTCTACCAGGGTGTCCGCGTATCACACCAAGAAGACAGGATCGCCTTCTCCTTAGAGTGCGCCGTGCTGGTCGTACAAAGACAACCAGTGTCCTCAGAAAAGAATGGCAGGATGCCATTCAAAAACCCGTTTCAAGGTCCCTCGTGAACAAGAGATCACTGCAAGCCGGTTATTTTGCACGAAGACCAGTAGGGAAACCACTGTTAACAGCAGGTCATATACAGCGACGTCTGCAATGGGCTGGGGACCACGTGCGTTTTCAGCCAAAACTCTGGAATCACGTCGTTTTCGGTGATGAGGCCAGATATGGAGTTTTTAGGGATGACGGTCGAATCCGTATCCGCCGACGTGTACGAGAGGCATAACACGATGATTGTGCACTGCCTAGGGTGCAAGCAGGGGGTGGTAACGTCTCTGTTTTTGGAGCATTTCATGCCGGTGACCAGAACCAGTTGGTTTTTTTAGGAGGCAACCTCAACCAGGGTTCCTACAGAGACATTCTACAGTAAACAATGCTTCGATTTGTAAGAGTCATCTTCATGAACAACTTTGTGTATCAAGACGACTGCGCATTCACACATCGGGACCGCAGAATCACTGTTTTTCTTCGAAACCAGTCGATTCAGCAACTGCCCTGGCGTGCAAACTCCCCAGATATGAACCCAATTGAAAATCTGTGGGCGGAAGTAACTCACAGAATTAATAGCTATGGTCATCGGCCGGTAAATGTGGATGAACTACGACAGGCAAATATCACTGCATGGAATGATATCCCCATCCAAACTCCAAAAAACTTGTCACAGGGTATGCCATGTAGGATGAGGGCGCTGCAAGCGGCTGCTGGAGGTGATATCCGCTATTGATGACTTTTCATGATTTACTGCAATGTGTTCTTTGACTGTGTAATATATCACTGTCCGGAGGCTATCATTTTCTTTAATATCATAGCTTAAAATAATATTGACATCAAACTGTTGATATGGTTTTCTGGGGCTGTTCTTTTCTTTTGAATGACGTCTTATGTCAGATTTGATATTATTGACCAAAATATCTCACAATAGAAGACTGGATATTTTTATCACTCAATGACATACTTTTTTTGATGAATTAAGCCAAAAGATTTATAATCACCACTCAAAAATAACAATGATAAAAAATATTCCATATTAAGTAGTAACCCTGTATATTTCACAATAAAAATATTGTGAACAACTCATAGAAATATAACATATTCTGTTTTACCACAAAAACGGCAGTTATAGCTATTATTCAGATATCTGAGCTTGTCTTCAGATCACGTGACCTCCATTGATGGCTGTACTCAGTTATAATCTCTTAAGAGATTTTAACAAAAAACCAAACTGTTTAGAAAAAAACCAGGGACTAACTTTCAATGTAAAAATGGATTCATTAACCATTGGTTAGTACGGAAAAATTGTTGTTTACTCCAGGAAAATTCATTTTTTGGCCAAAACGAAGAGTTATTATCCCTTTAATCAAATTTGAAACAAGACATCACAGGAAAATAGTTTAAAATATAATATTACCATCATTGTTTTTTTCTAGTGCAAAAAAGAAAAATGGTTTTCTTTCAACCAATTAAGTTATTTTCTTCCACCCAAATGTTTATGCTTTGCCATAGCGATCTTTATGTTTGTTTAAAAACATGCACAAGATACCAACATCCTTCTCGCTTTATAGTGTAGGAATTATTTTATCCACCCTTTTTGTAAACGCGTGCGTACATGCAGGGTCAGATGCGGTGAACTTATTTCAACCATTCTAAAAGGTCAAAAAGACACTATTGCGCTCACAGAAGAAAGCCCCCCCCCTCCCCTGACCCTTTGAACAAGAACTTGATCTCTATGGATACGTCGCCAAAAGTGTACATCCCTCTATGAAAGTGAACACACACCCATCATGTACTGCCTTGCCCCAATGTCCCACTGACAATGTATTTAACACAACAAATACCGATAATGATATGAGTGATATAGTTTGTATGATTTTTCTTTTTATGTATATTGCAGGCTAGATTCACAATGGTCCTAAAACAAATGTAGAGAGAAAACCTACTTAATATTTATTTATCCCGAATAACAGAAGCTTAGTGTAGTACGTTTGTCTCAATCTCCACTATTTACAGAGTGGTCAAAAATTATTACCTTCCATCTCAATTATGATATAAATAAGATATTTCCAACTTTATTTCACCAAAGTGTTCCATTTGGATGACCATTTATCCTTGCAAATTCTGCAGAAATTGATACCTTTAAGGTAGCCAAATTTCAATCATCATCACCTCACGCCGCACGGACTTTCCTTGGCCACCCTCTTCACCAGATCTCAACCCCCCAGATTTCCTCCTTTGGTGGTCACCTTAAGGAAAGAATTTCTGTTTAAATGCCACAAACTCTAGACTCTCTGAAGACCAACATTCGAGAAAAAGTAAGGAACAGTCCGGCTGACATGATTGCAATAGCAAATGCAAAATTTCAACGTTAGTGTGGCTGCCGTTATTCAGCAGCGAGGAGTGTGGATAGAGCACATTATCAATTATTGAAATTTGACTACTTAGGTTTCTAATTTTCGCAGAATGTGGAAGGATAAAATAATCATCTTTATGGGAAAATTTGGCGAAAGAAAGTTGGGAATATCTTAATTAAATGTACATCAAAATTGAGATGGAAAGTTAAATAGGTAGTTTTTTATGGACCACCCTGTATACATCTGTGTTGGGTTTCCAATGACGACGTGCTCACAACATGGCATCGATTCAACCAGGAAGGTTAAAAGTTACCAATAGATATGTGAACGCGTGGGAAAGCGGTGGAAAAGGAATGACACCGGCTGAAACGCTACTTAGGGACCGGTCATTATTTAAGTTAGAGGGGGAGGTGGAGGAGAAAATGTGGGCCCTGAAAATTTCCGAGCAAATATTGGGGGGTCTTGAAATTTGCAAATGACAGATAAGGGGTTCTCGAGAAAAATTATTTTTGTGACTTGTCGTACAAGACATAGTGAAAGATATAAATTTCACACTGCTTTTTCACTAGTTTTATTGAGGGAGTGGCCGAGTTATTCAATCAATGTGGAAGGGAGATCCTGAAAAATTTGAATGCTATCAGGGATTTTTTCAATTTTTTTTTTTTTTTTTTTTTGGGGGGGGGATTGACATTTTCCCCTCTCCCCCCCCCCCTCCAACTCAAATAATGAGCGGTCCCTTAGTGATGCATTAACTTAAACTATATAACATTATGACCTTGGTCTAGACCAGGAAACTTGACGGCTTCATTACTCGGTGGTTTTGATTAATAACACTAATCTAAACACAATACCTTTAAGACATTTCACCCTCCTTAAAACACAATGATATTACAGAGGTGAAGTATATTGCTATGATATTACATAGGTCAAGTATATTGCTATATTATTACAGAGGTGAAGTACATTGCTATGATATTACAGTGGTGAAGTACACGTATATTGCTATGATATTCGTACTGAAATTCTCCTTAACGAGTGCTCAAGAACCTTTAGAGATTATATATTGAGAAATTATATTTGCACTTTAGAAGCGTTGTTTTTTTTCAATAACTACACACATAAAGTCCATGTAAGCATATATTTTACTTTATCAACCCACATTAATGTACAAACTACATGTAGCGCATTGAAATGGGCAGTAGAGAAGATGTGTTAACAAATGGAACAAAAGGTATCTAAAATATATATCCGGGAAAGATTATCCCAAGAGTGACGGCACGCTTATTGGTCCATGAAAATAATTGCTGGTTGGTTCAAATGAAGAGAATTGTCGAATTGTGGTCGGGATTTTGCCAGTTCTTTAAATGAACATGACTCTCGCTCTTCGACAGAACAGGGCCCCGTAACTCCAAAGCATTGCGCATTGCGACCGAGCGAAAGCGTCTAGATTCCATAACTCACCCATACTCGCCCCTTATGGGGGTTATGGAATTGAGACTCTTGCGCTGGGTCGCAATGCGTGATGCTTTCCAGAACAGCAACCCCTCAGCTCCCCCCCACCCCACACTCCAGGACTAACAAAACATAAATAACAACACAAACACTCCCAAAATCTTTTGACATGTGTCGGTCATAAGTATTCATGAAGTCAACGATAAAAGGAAGTTTATCGATAATTGAACGAAGCTGCGTCCCGTTTCCCATATGATAATTCGTACACGTTAGGGGTAGTTGAAGTATTGGGGTTAGTATATGGGACGAATGTCACCTGTACAAAGCAATGGGGAACGGACTACAGTTCCTAGCACACTACCCATCCTGTACACTGTCCTCTTTGAACAGAATTT